TATATAAATATATATAATTATATTTATATATATAAATTTAATAACACATTTTTATGCTAAACAGCTTTTTCATTTATATTTACATTAATGCATTTAGCAGATTTTTATTATTATTTTTTTTTTTTTAAATCCAAAATGACTTCCATTGCATTCAAGGTTTCAAGTCACCAGTTTATGCTTTCCCTAGAAATTGAACCCATGACCTTGGGGTTGCTAGCACCATGTTCTACTGTTTGAGTTTCAGAATTTCCCATGAATTACAACAAATCCCCTGAGTCACACCTAGATATTTTTACTTGAAACCTCACATTACATATCCAAATTACAGAAAGTGAAAACATGTTAATCACAGGAAAAATAAAAAAAAGTGTATTCAGGTCTTTTTTTATTATTTATTTCATTTTTATGCATTTTTTAATAGATTAATAGATCTGGATTTAAAAAAAAAGAGCATCACATCATTGACCTTTATAAACTTTCTCCTCCTTTTTAAGTTTGTAACCTTACCCACAACAGTTTTCACTCATGCCTTATGCTCCTGTTCGTGCTCCTTATTAATATAGTGAGAAGTTGTAATGATACTCTAGGGGTGTTGTAGGGCAGGTGTGATCTGGTAAGAAAATCTCTACACTGTATGTACACTAAATCTCCTCTGACGTGTTCACGCAAGTGTGCGGCAGGCCTCCGCTAGGGAAGCGTATCGTGGGAGGAGTTGAAGCATCAGTAGGGGCATGGCCATGGCAAGTGGACATTCAGATGGGAGCCAATGTCCATGTTTGCGGTGGATCCATAATTGCAAAAAATTGGGTCCTCTCTGCTGCACACTGCTTTCCTAAGTAAGTATTATCATATTATCAATGCCGGTGTTGATTGTAGAGAAGTTAATATTCTCTTATCTTCTATCCTCAGCCCCTCAGACGTGTCTTCGTATCGCCTGTACATGGGACGCCATCTGCTCAATGGCTATAACCAGTTTGAGATGGTCAGTCAGGTGCAGCGAGTGGTTGTTCCAGAAGGATACACAAACCCTCAGAAGGGCAGAGATGTAGCCTTAGTGAAGCTGCGCTCTCCGGTCACCTGGTCAGACAGGATCCAGCCTGTGTGTCTGCCATATGCTGGATTCCAGTTTAACAGTGGAACCTTATGCTATGTCACAGGTTGGGGACACACACAGGCGGGTGGTAAGTGCATTATAAAGGAAATAAGGGGGAACTACAGAAAAGAACATATTTTACTGTTTAAACTCATGGCTAAGGCTTTGTACTGTACATGTGGATTTTGTCTTTGGAGTGACAGCTGGATTTCCATTTCATTTCAGTAGTGGTAGTCACGGTGGACAAAGGGGATGAGGTTAGAAGCAAT